GATTTTTTTTTTTTTTTTTAAAACGTGATTATTATTATTATGTTTTTGAAAAATTTAATTTTGTTTTTGGCAACACCGTGTTTTTTTTAAAGTTTAAAATTCGTCGAAATTATTTATTATTATTATTATTATTATTATCGAATGAAAATGTTTTTGGAAAACAAAAAAGTTTTGCAACGTTTTTATTATGTTTAAAAAATATATAATGGTGATAATAATAATAATAATAGACATAACTCATAAGAAATTCATGAGATTCACAAAAACAAAAAAATGGAAACAGGAAACGAGAAAAAAGGAAAAGGGAAAAATTGAAACGTAAGAATTCATCACAGATGTTTAGAATCAGGCCTTAAGGGGTCAAAAATACGTAAAGGTAAAAGTTTTTTCGAAATTTCAATATTGCCAATCGCAAACGGAAACAGTTGTGATTTCCGGATGTTCGATATAAGCAAAAATTTTCAAAATGCCTTCGCTGGAATGAGATTCGGAAATATGGATTGGATGGACTAGTTAGGGAATGGCACAACCACATTTCGACCCCGGTTACGACAGCGGGGGGCACGATGATGACAGAGGGGGGGCAAGCCAACAAACCGGAAATCATCCCACGACATAATACCGAAAAATGATGGCGGATATCCGTACCGACGGAAAAAAACCTAAAATACAGGAGACTTTAAAAATTTCAATTACCGAGATTAGTGGAAAATGAAAAACGGAAATGATTCCTATAGTCGTGATGGTAGCACTGAAACCCGTATCACAATTTAAAAAAAAAAAAACCGTACAGGAAATGGCATCGTTCGGTAGTGCCAACATTCTAAATAACATCACCGATATTTAATAATTTATTTCGTTTGAATTCCAGTAAAAAAAAAAAAAACCTGGAAAAAAAGGAAAAAAATTAAAAATTTCAAAGAATACATTAAAAAAAAAAAAAAAAACTCACCTTGATTAAAAATGATAATGATGATAATAATAATGATAATAATAATTTTTTAATGTCAAATTTAATTAGTTTTTTTTTTCTCCGGGAAATTTTTATAAACTTCCGGTTTTTATAATTTTTTAAAATAATTCGATTTTAATAATAAAAAGTTTTTCCTTTTTTTTTTTGTTTTTTTTTTTTTATTCGTACGTGTGGCGGCGAACAATAGAAATAATAATAATGATGATGATAATAATGATAATGATGATGATGATATTTCTAAAAAAAAAATGATATCAAACTTTTTTGAATGACCGAACGAATAAACTTTTAAATTATCAGGTGAATTAAAATTTTTTATAAAAAAAAAAAAAAGGAAAAATAAGCGGTGGTGATGGTGGTTGTTCGTTTCAAAGGAAAAAAGGAAAAAAAGGAAACGGATAATTTTAAATTAAAAAAAAAAATTATCCTCCACAAAAATTATTAATTAGGATTTAATTTTTTTTTTTATTCATATTTATTTTAATTTTCGCTGTGGTTTTAGATTTGTGGGGGATGGAGTGGGGGAAATTCATCATAATAATTATTTTGGTCGATACGATTCACGGGAAAAAATTAATAATAATAATAATAATAAATGGTTGAGCGATAAAAATAAAATGAAGGAGAGGAAAAAAATTTTTTTTTTAATATAAAAGTGAAAATCGTGTTTAAATAAAATATGCGGGGGATCCAAAAAAAAAAAAAGGGCGAAAGGAGGGATGGGGAGAAAGAAAAAGGATTGGAAAAAAAAAGTCGGTCAACGTTTTCTAGGTACAAAAAAAAAAAAAAAATTTTTTTATTTTTAAACCGCCGACACTCAAAAAAAAATTTTTTTATTAAAAAAAAAATGGCGGAATGTGATTTTTTAAACAAAAAAAATTTTTATAATATTTTCATCTTTCACGTCATATTTTTTTCCTTCTACCTTTTACAATCTACCTACCCCCTCTGCGTATACTTTTTCTTCTACTCTCCCCCCACTCCCACTCCCCCTCCTCCTCTCAAATCGATTTCAATACCTATCAATCAATCATTAAAAACATCTTGCAATTTTTTTTTTTTTGTGACGGTTGGTGTTGTCGTCGTCGTCGTCGTCGGATAAAATTAAAAGAAATTTTAAAAAGCGTGATTGACACTGACTACACGGTTGACGCGTTTTACAATTTATGCTGCGTTTTTACTCAATTCTTTTACATGTGTGCGTGTGCGTGTGTGCGTGAGTAAATGGAGGAAATGGATGAAACGAATATGAAAAAAAAAATTCTTTGAGGTTACAAAATTCGTCTCTTTTTTTTTTTTTTAAACAATTTCTTTCTTACTCTCTTTTTCTTTCACTCTTACCAACATCTATCTCTCTCTTTCTCGATATTTTAAATTTCATTTTCGCGGGTGTGGGGAGGTAACGCTAAAAAAAAATCTGATTTGTATCGAATGAATAAAGTTATAGGGAATATTTTCTTATCTTCCTACTTCCCGCCCCCCTTTTTTTTTGTTAAACTAAGAGAAATGCATTTTGAAATAATCTCCCCATCTAGTAGCGGGAAGAGTGGGGGGGAGGGACTGGGGGATTCAGTCGAAGCCACTACCCAACTAAAACTCCTGGAGAAGGAGGGGCGTTTGCGGGAGTCAACCTGCATTTCAGGCTCAACCTCCTTCTGAGCCAAAACTATCAGGTCCACACTCTCGGGGGGGGGGGATCCCGATTGAGGAAGATCCCGGTACTTTCCTTTTTTACCTACTAAATCACTTATTCCCTAACTTTAGTCTGTTCCTGTTTGGGCGAGCTAAAATTAAACTTTCACTCCTCCCATGATTTAAACTCACGGCTCTCAACTTTTGTACCGATTTTTCCCCTTTTCAAACTGAACCTGGCAACCCTCAGGGCTTTCCCAAGGCATCCAAGTTGAAGCTTAACCCCTAGCGGACGCCTACTCAACGCGGAAAATCCAATTTCAGAACCCTTCCCACTCCTACAACAACCTTTACACCTACCTAACCCCGAGTAATTGGATTACGGGAGTACACCACCACCACCACTCCCAGCTTCCTACTCCCCCCAATTTTCTTATTCAAAGTGTAAGAACGGAAATTGTTGTTGTTGTCGTTGTACCTAATTAAAAACTTTTCTTTTTTTTTACGAATTTTCTTTTTGATTTCATACAAAAATTTTACTTTTTTTTTTAATACTTAATTTCAAGTTTGACGAAGGTTTATTTGATTTATTCGATTTTAATAAGAAAGAAATTATTTTAATAATAATAATAATAATAATAATAATAATAATAATAATAATAATAATAATAATAATAATAATAATAATAAAAGTAAAAGTCAATTTTTGTGTTTTTCTCTTTTTTTCTTTCTTTTTCTAATTTTATTTGTTTTTTTGTTTTTTTTTTTTTTTTTTTTTTTTAAATTCATTCATTTCTTTTTGATATTTGTTTAAATTAAATGGGGGGGAGGGAAAAATTGCGTAGGCATACACAAGAAGGAAAAAAATATTTTTTTTCTTTTTTTTTTACCTTAATTTTCATTTTTATTCAACAAAAGAAAATGTCTTTTTTTTTTTTTTAAACAAAAAAGTAAAAATTAAATGGAAAATTTACTAAAAATAGAGAAAGAGAGAGAGAGAGAGAGAGAAAGAAATCTTTGAATTTTATAAAAAAAAAATTTGATATTTACTTTTGTTTTCAACCTTTTCTTTTCTTTTTTCCCATGTCTCTTACTCCCCTCCCCAAAAAAAAAAAAAAAAACATAATGAAATCACACTACAT